GACTGTGTACAGGTCTGTATGTGTCAATTTCTTACAAGGGTATGGGTGGCCATCGGGGCAAAAAAGACAACACGAAAAAACCTTATTTTAAAAAAATTTACAAAATAAAATAAAGAACTATTTTCAAAATGAACAAAAAGAAAGAACTGAAATTAAGAACAATGAATAAAAAATTGATGAAAATAATTAAAAATGAAAAAACGAAAGATCAAATGAAATCATTAACAAAAAATAAAATGAAAAAATTGAAAAACAGAAAAAATAATAAAATAGAAAAGGAATAAGAAATGAAAACAGGAAGAAATGAGAATCAGCCAGAAAATAAAAATATTGAAAAATTGACAGATAAATGAAAAATAAAGTAGAAAAAGAAGTAAAAAAGAGTAGAAAACACTTTTAATGAAAATGAAAGAGAAATCTACTAAAAGAACAATACAAACTGCTATTATTGTTCGAAAAGAAGCAAAAAAGAAAATCTCGAAAACAAAATTGTAAGTAGCAAAACAAACATTTAACTCGCAAAACAAGATTGTAACTCGCAAAATAAAATTTTTGTAAAAAGACAGACCAACTCTTAACGTTGGGGGTGTGCGAAGCTCTGTGCTACGGTTCGCTGAACTTGGCTCGGCAGACGCGCCGCGCCGATGGTGGAATATTTCCATTGTTAAAATTCTACAAAGTCTTTGTATTTCCTGAGTAACATGATGATGGAGTGGTAGGGGTTGGTAGGACACAATTAGCACACAAGGTAATGTAAGAGACCACATTTGTTTTCTTCTAATTCCTCATTTGCTTCATGACGATCTTGACATACATGTGAAAAGTTTCCATGATTATGTAATTGAAAAAATATGATTAAAGTAAAAATGCCTGTTTGAATTTGAAAGGTAATTTTCATTGGTCCGTGGTTTAGAAATATTAATGTTCCCCTTTGACTTTCACTTATGGTATCATATTTTACTTTTAATTTCCAGTTTACATGACTTACGCACGTTTTGAAAGCTTTCGTTATTCTGTCTCTAAATTACATTTGGAGGGCATGGAGGGACTTTTAAAAAATCTTTCAGCCAAACATTGATGTATATCCTAATGATGCCCACATTTTCCATAATGTTAAATTGCCAGAAGCTTATGAAGCAGTGTGCCTCACGGTGAGACAACAGTGGTTTCACGGATGAAATGCCGTGACAAGTGTGACTGAGCAGTCTACAACAAGCCGTACGGAATTGCTATCATGTGGGGTTGATTAAATAAAGTACACTGATTTCAAAGTTAAACAGCCCCAAAACAAATCAATGTGATCCTGTTACATCATGTAGCTTATTGAGCTGCTCAAGCCTACTCTGTTTACTTATGCCATGACTAGGCCATCTACATGTACATGTAACCGCCTTGAAATTATTTAGAGGGTTCCTTACCACCTGGATGCATGAGAAAATGGGTGAAGGAAAACGTATATGTATACAGCAGTGCTAGGAGCAGCAGGATTCTCAGTGTACAGGGCTGCAAACTTGTGGGTTTTTTTTTTCTGAAACTCCCCCTTAGAACATGATGGCCTTCATGGGCCCATTCCATCACAAGTACAGGGACACTGGACCAGTGGTACTAGCCCAGCTTTACTGCAGTGAAGGAAGTAGGCTACTTGATATTTCATTGGCTACCTCGCAAGCCCACAAGCATCACAATTATTGATTGTAACTTTCAAGAAATCATAGTTATTTACAATGTTGTCAACAACTACTGTACATGTATATGGGTCCTTAAACTTGTCAATTCATAGACTCAATATGGTTGTATTCCAAAGGCATACGCATGATGTATGTATATGGAGATATCATTAGATCCCCACCAATGTTGCATGCTCCCAATGTTGCATGCTCTTCTGCCTGTATGTTTTGCGTGATAATAAAGCATGGTACATGTATGGTAGCGTCGCAGGCCAGGCCAGGCCAAAGAACTACGCACGCCTACAACGTTCGTAGGAGATCAGTTATTTTACGAGAATACAACTTGTTTTGTGAGATACAATTTTGTTTTGCAAGATTGCTTGTTTTTTTCACTTCTTTGAAAGGAATAAATCTGGTTTGTTCCGTCATTTTCGTCGTAGATTTCTCTTTTGTTTTCATTTTTCTTTTTTTAAAATTCGTTTTTTAAATATTTATGTTTTCCTGTGTTTTTTTCTTATTATTTTTATTAAGTTATAATATTTTTTATCTTTTCTCATTTTATTTATTTAGTCTCCAGTTTATTTGTTTTTGAGTGTTTTATTTTTCATTCTTTTTTTTATTTTTATTTCTTGTTTTTAAATTATTTGTGTTTTCCTGTTTTTGTTTTCTTTCTATTTCTTTTTATTCTTTGTTTTATTTTATTTATTTATATTTTAAATCTAATTTTGTTTTTATTGTTCATGTTGTCTTTTTTGCCCCGATGGCCACCCATACAAGGGTTGGTCGTGGCATATTACAGATTTACACTATGCTGTATGTACATGCATACACTATGCATGTACATGTCATGCCTGTGTACAAGTATGTATCAGCGCCTTGTATTCATTCTAGTACAGTACGTAAAGAATTGTTCCAACTTTGTAATGAAGAAGTTTGAAGCAGGCAATGGTCCATCAGTGACTGCATCTTCTTGCTAGCAGGATTCCTTGCTTGTGCTTGAAATTCGTCAGGAGGCCGCGTTCAGCGGTATGTGTTCATCGATGTACTAGCACTGCGCATAATTTGTCTTCATCCTTGCTGTTTGCCAGGCCCAGCCCAGCTGTGTCCTTGTCTCTTCCAGCCAGTGGCCCGCTCGTCACCCCAGCTTCACTGACCATGAGTTTACCGTCTTCAGCTGTTCTGTCCTCATCTGTAACCGGCCAGCCACCCTTCACTGCATCTCTGCCTGTCAGCATGCCAGTTTCTCTGCCAGACTCCTCCATACCCATGGATGCTGACATTACAGCGGTGTCCCCTGCTCCAGTAGTTCTCCCGACCTCTTCGTCTGGCATCCCACCTCCTGCCTCAGCCTTGTCGACCGCTCTTCCATGCGTGGCCTCACCCTTGATCCCGTCATCACCCAGTGTTTCACGCACTGCCCCAGCCTCGTTTGGCGCTTGTCATGTGCCAGTGCTTCCACTGCCCCAAACCAGCAACGCTGACATGACCGTTTCCTGGAGTGATTGCGATCTGTCAGCTCATTTGTTTGAGCCATCCACCGAGTCCATGTCCACAAAGTGAGTATAGAGAGAAATGTAATATACAGCTTTTGACCAAGTTTGAGTGGTTAAAACGAATGACTACAGGCTGGTTTTACCGTGATCACACTACGAGATTAAAGCAAGCGATATATTTGTCTCAGAACAGCTCTTTTACAGAATCTTTATGATTTGAGCAGTAACTGATTATTGATCTACCTGCAACTATAACATATTAAAACTCTTAACATGTAACTATTTTTGTAACTGCTTTTCAACAGTTCTCCCCAGGTGCCTACCAACAGCTTTGTCCAGGGACCTCTCAACATCTCTTTCCAGGGACCTACCAGCAGCTCTGCCCAGGGACCTTCCAGCAGCTCTGCCCAGGGACCTACCGGCAGCTCTCCCCAGGTACCTACCAGCAGCTTTGTCCAGGGACCTCTCAACATCTCTTTCCAGGGACTTCCCAGCAGCTCTGCCCTGGGACCTACCAGCAGCCCAGCCAAGGGAACCACCAGCAGCTCTCCTGGGGTGCCTACCAGCACCTCTGTCCAGGGGCCTCTCGGCATTGTTGTCCAGGGACCCACCAGCATCCAGGGACCTTCCAATAGTCTGGACCAGGGACCCAGCGCTACATGTAGCAGCCCTGCCCAAGAATTTACCTTCAAGGATCTGGACTGTCTGGACAACCTGCCTGAGGTAGTAGAAAGCTTATCCCAGGCACAGAGACAGCAGGCTGCAGAAATCAAGAGGCAGTTTCAGTTCTTACAGGAAGAAAAGGTATTTTGAAAAGGTATTTTGAAAAGGAATTTTGGGTGAAAAGCCAGTATACATGTAAATTGACTGCTTCGAGTGGTGTATAAAATTAGAATGTTCCTTACATGTGTGCATATATGGAAGATCACATAAAGGAGGCTCATTTCATAAAACAGTGAGAAAAAGCAGTCAACAGTTGCATCTGAATACCTCGTCCACACATTCTTCTTGATTTTAGCTACGACCGATTGATTTCCATGTAATTATGATTTAGATAATCAGATGTACTCCTATCAGAATCTACTAGAATATGTAATTTGTTCAAAATTCACACATGCATACGTGTACATACCCCTTTCCCAATTACACGCAACTCTTCCTGGAATACTCTCCTTCTCTCCAACTTGTGAAGCGAAGAAATTTTTATTCATGTTTTGGGGGATCATTTAGAATCATTTTAATCAAGTATCTGACCATTTCATGCTCTTGCTTTCACGTACAACCTTCTCTGACCGCACCGCCAACATACACTTCAGGAGTTACTGAAGGAAGGTAGGTTACAAATGTCTACCAATTGTTTTGCAGGGGGAGGGGGTAAAATA